TGTTTGGCTGGCTTTGGACCCCATGCCGACTCCTCTGTGCAGAGGAAAGAGAAGGGGTTGGGTTTATTAAGGTGAAAATAAAGCTGTGTTCTCAGCAGCTGCTTAAGTGGAATTTGGTGGAAAGCAGGCAGCGATCAGGGACTCCTACGTCTTCTGTTGGAGGCTTGTCTTCAGTCTGGAGGTGTGGCCTGGGGCTGGCAGGAAGCAGGTGGAGGTGAGCCGGGCAGCCAGGGGCCCAGGAGACAGAGGGCACTGCCTGAGGCCCAGCCCTTAGAGTCCAGGACGATTAGAGTTCTGGGGAGGGTCACAGAGTCTTTGGGGCTGTGTGTATGTGAACAACAGAGAATGTGGCAGGGCCCTGGACACACTGTTGACCCCATTCCCTCTCTTATTCCCCCATTCCCAATCTCCATTTCCAGTGTGGACCATTTCATTTGACTTCTAGGATTGTTTTTTTTTTTAACTAAATTTTTGGGTGGATAACATACTCACATGGTTTGACAATTAAAAATCATAAAAAGGTTAAGAAAAAAATAAAGGAATGAAAATAAGACAAGAAATTAAAAAGTAAAGGTAAAAAGAGAAAACAAAACAGACAAATGAGAAAATAAAAATTATAAAAAGGTAGGCACTATTTTTCCCCTCCTGTACTGCATCTACCCAGCTCCCACCCTTCCCCTCACTGTGATCGCTGTTAATAGCGTTTTGTATGTCCTTCAGACTTAATTTAAGTAAATGTTTTCCTTCCTTCTCACAAAAAGGAACACACTGTTTTGTCCCTTGGTTTTTTTCCCCCCCTTTGACTCAACACTGTCTCTTGGAAGTCTTTCCGAATCACCTCACAGAGTTCATCATTCTTGTTCACAGCTGCATGACATTTCTTTGTTGGGATTCCAAGCAATTACAGCAAGGGTCAACCTGGTACATACATCACTTCACACGTTTACAACTGTATCTGTAGGATACATTTCCAGAAGGAGACTTTCTGGAGCAAAAGCTATGCACATTTATAGTTTTGATATTGCCAAACTGACTTCCCTAGAGGTTGTGCCCATTTGTACACCCCAAGTAATTTATGAGAGAGCCCAGGTCTTAATTTTTAACTCTTTTCCAAGATGACTGCATGAGGCTTTTCTGTGTGACACCCCAGTGCATATTGTTACCGTGGTTGACACCCAGTAGCTGGCCCCTCGGCTCCCGCCCTCATTACGGAAGGCTCCATTATAGCTGGAGGCAGAGGGATCCTGGGCCAGCCATCCTCAGTCCCTCCAGACCTCCCCTTCACCATTCTCTCCCTGCTCTCTGCCTCGGGAGGCAGTCTCCAGCCCTGGAGAACGGCCTGCAGTTTCCCACACAGACGGTAAGTCACACCCCTATGCCTATGCCCATGTTGTTCCCACCTCCTGCCCTGCCTTGCCACCCTTCTCAGTCTGGAAAATTCTGACTCCTCCTTTAAGACTCAGCTTAAATGTTGCCTCTGCAGAGGACTCCCTGACCCTGCCTGGCAGAACCGGTCACTACCTCCTTCCTCTGGGTTCCCTCCCACACAACTCTGGATTGTTCACCATTAGAGCAGAGCACAGTTGGATCACCCAGTGGGGGAACTGTTTGTTTACATGGCTCTGTCTCTCCCAGCACCCAGCCCAGGCCAGGCCCACACTTCAAACTCCTCTGAGACTAAAATTAAACTTGCTGGAGAGGGAGGATGGCAATGGAAAGGCCCTGGGTGTGGGAGTTGGACAGGGTATGACTCCATCCTTTGTCCTCTTCCCACCTCGCCAGCCTTATCTCCTCCCTTTGGTTCTCTATGCTCTGATCACACTCATCTGAACTCCTTTCCCACTTTATGGCCCTAAACGTGCCCCTCCAACTGCCCTTCCCTTGGCTCTTTCTTATCCTTCAGTGCCTAGCTTAACTACCAGTCCCCAAGAGAGGCCTTCCTTGGCTACAGTCTAAAGACACAGGCGTCCCATGCTATCATTCTCCAGTCTCCGTCTACCACAAATCTAATTCTCATGCTGATTTATTGGTGTACTAGTTTGCTGCTTGTCTCCCCCCGTCGCCCTTTAAAGTCCTGGAGGGCAGGGACCTTGGCTTGTCCATGGCAGTGGGTCCAGGGCTAACCCAGGGTGGGTGTCACATATTAGGCACAGCAGATACCTTTATCAGCTGAATGAGAACTGCACAAACAGGTCCAAATCCCTGCTTCCCCACCTCCCAGCTATGTCTTGGATTGATTACCCTCTCTGAAGGGTTCCTCATTTGAAGACCAGTCCTTTCAGGTTGTGATGTGTATTGGAGATTGTGCAAAACACCTGATATATGAAGAGGCTCCAGAAATGGCAACTATCCTTTGTTAAGTTTTTCCTTCTTAAAAATGCACCCTTTTTGCCAGGCTCAAAGACCTTACTGTCCCATCTTTCCAAAGAAATTTTTACTGAGGTATAACATGTATAGAAAAGCACACACACCAATTTTTACACACACACACCATGTAACCACCTCCCCAATAAAGAAGTAGAACATTCTAACACCCAGGAAATTTTCCATGTTAGCCTCCCCCCGTCTCCTGCTTGTACCAATGACACCTCCTGTTCTTTCCCTCCTGTGTGTTTGATCTGAAATCATGGCATGTCCATTTTTCCTTCACACTTTCTGACTCATTCCTCTCCCCATTCCTCTTCTGAGACCTTTCCTTTCCTAATAACTCCAGCTCTTCTGACTTCTACTACCAAACCAGAGGTCTTAAAAGGAGTGGACATGCAACCAGCGGAGTGTGAGATGATTCCTGCAATTCTACTCCTAGTTTTATGTCCAAAAAAAATGAAAATAGGTACTCTGGTGAGTACATGTACAGGCATGCTCGTGGAAGTGCTGTTCACAATAGCCTAAAGATGGAATCAGCCCAAATGTCCATCAGTGAACAAACAGATAAACTGTGGGATACACATACAATGGAACATTATTCAGTCACAGAAAGGAATGAAGTACTGATACACGCTAAGCCAAAGAAGCCAGACAGAAGAGGTAATATATTGTATGATTCCAGTTATACGAAATATCCAGAGAAGAGAAAGCCTTAGCAATAGGATGCATATGTGTGGCTGTCAGGGGCTGGGTGGAGATGGGATGGGGAGGAACTGTTTAATGGATAAACAGTTTTACTTTGGAATGATGGAAAAATTTTGGAACTAGAAATGGTGGTTACACAACATTCTGAATGCACTAAATGCCACTGAATTGTCCATATTAAAACGGTTACCTTCATGTTATGTGAATCTCACTTTGATAAATTATTTTTGAAAAAATAAAGTAGCCACGCTCATTGGTTGGCTAAGGGTTTTCAATGAACATCGGTATCTTAAACCTTCTAAGCCATGATGGGCTGGGCAAATACCAGCTGGGGGCGACTGAGGGCAGGAACAGCCCCAGGCTCAGTGTGTTTTTGCTGCTCTAAGTAGTAATGATGTGATGTTAAGAGATAGCTATAATGATTACAGCTAACATTTCTGTTTAATATGAGCCAGTCACTGTTCCACCTGCTTTACTTCTTAAACTCACCAAATCCTTACAACTCGAAGAGGTGGGTTCTGTTATACTTTCATTACAGGCGAGGAAACCAGGGAACTGAGGTTTAAGTCACAGATGAGGAAGTGTCAGAGTCCAAATTTAAACCTAGACAGTCAGGCTCCAGATAGTTAAGTCTCAACCCTCAGGCACTGTGCTAAGTGCTTTCCATGTTTTAGCTCATTTAATCCCTTGAGGTAGGTGTCATTATTATTCCTATTTAAAAAAAATAAAACAAAACAAAAAACAACCCCTCACGGTCCTTCCCCTGCGCTTCTCATGTTGGTCCACAAACTCCTGTCATTATCACCTCATCTTGCTTCATTTTTCTTTATATTGCACATATTACTACCTGAATTTATTATTTATACTTTCTTTTGGTTTCTCATCACTGAAAGGCAGGGCTTCTGATTATTGATTTCCCAATATCCAGAACAATGTGTAGTACATAATAGGTTCCAGATAAGAATTTAAATGAATGTTGCATGTGTACTGGGTAGTTTTGCGTGCCTGTGCCTGAATAAGTAAGATCATACCTTGCACCATGCTATTTCTTTAAAAAATGTAGTCTTGAATTAAAAAAAAAAAATCAGTACATAAATCTAGTTCATTCTTTTCAACAGATGGAGAATATCCCATACTGTAGATGTAGGACCCCGTTCATTTAACCAGTTTCCCATTTGATTAATCCACGTTTTCCTTAGGGTATCTCTGATGCAAATAATATATCAATAAACAACTTAGCACATGCCTTTTTGAGCATAATTGCACATTTCCTAGAATTAGTACCTAGAAATGGAATGGCTCTAAGGGTATATACATTAAAAATGTAATGCCAAATTGCTCTCCCGATATCCAGTCCTGGAGCGCTGAATGAGGTACCCTTGGACCAGACTGGATATGATTAGTCTTTTTAACTTTTAGCCAATCTGACGGGGGAAAAGAACACCCAATTTACAGATATAGAAACCGAGGCTCAGAAAAGTTCAGGGACTTTCCTACATAACCGGTAGGTGGTGGAGTCAAGATGAGACCTCCGATGTGCCTCCACTACCGAGAGGGCGCGCCCAAACTGGACAGTGTCTTTTATGCTGTGTGCCCTGCGGTACGATCTGGTTATCTCTGGGCCTTGTGATGCGGGTAAGCTACCCTTCCAGCCGCCTCTAGGCTCAGACCCCAAACTCCAGCCCTTCCAGACTGCCGAATGCCCATTCCGGGTGCCGGCCAAATTCGACCCTGCAGCCTCCAGAGCTCCGAAATGGCGACCGGAGAGACGGCCAGGCCCCTCCCCTCCCCGGGAGGCGGGGCCTAAGCTCAGGCCAGAGCGGTGGATGCCCGATCCCAGTTTGAAGTCGGCCAGGCGGACGCGAGCAGCAGCAGAGGGCCAGTGGCGCCGCAGGTCGGGAGGAGGAGAACCGAGTAGCGGGCTCGCTAGCCGGGGCCGCCCGAGAGTCTCTTCATCTCGGGTGCTGGGGCCGCCATCTTAGATGGCGGGAGTAAGGCGAGAAGGAGCTTGAGACGGCTAGGCTTCCCTGCTGCTCTCCTTGGGCCCGGAAGAGGGCCAGCCGTCCGGGCTTTGGGGCGTGTGCCCTGAGGCGCGGAGCGCGAGTGCGACGATGCTGGGGCTGCCCGGGGCCCCGTCCCCTGGGCTGGGGACGCGCCGAATGTGACCGCCTCCCGCTCCCTCACCCGACGCGGGGAGGAGGAGCGGACCAGACGCCGCCGCCCGACGACGGGACACGGAGGCGGCCCAGATCCCTCAGGTAGGCAGCAGGGCCGGGCTGGGCCCTGGGTGCTGGCGGAGCCGGGCTTCCCGGCGGCCCCGCCTGCGAGGCGCTCACCGAGCGACCCTGTGGCCGCGGGGCGGAGGGCCGGGCAAGGCCGCTGTCACCCCGGTGGCGTTGGGCGGGTGGGGGCCCTGGGGGCCCGTGTCATGGCCGGCGAGCCGAGTTCCCACATCCCCGCTCGCATTTCCTTGTGTTTCGGGTAACGTGCCAGCGCCACCCCTGTACTCGGTGCACATTCTTCGTATTTTGGCCAAGGGAAAATCCGCCCAGAGCTGCCCCGTATCTGTGTTGTCACTCAGATGGGCCAGTTCCTTTTGTTTCTGGCCGCGGAGTGGGGGACCTGGGCTCGCATCTTCTCTCAGGGTCCGTCACTCAAGTGACACTCTTTAGGGAGGACGAGAGCAATAGGGAACGAGTTGGTTAAATGGGTCAGTGCCCCACCACAAAGGAATAGAGGCCTCGCCTTGGGTTTCGGGGCTCTCTGGGTTACTAATGAAAGGTTTGGGATACGTATACTGAGGTTTGCCCTTGGGATGCTTTGGAATGAAGATTCAGGGTTGTCTTTTGTGTGAGTGAGAGCCGCCAGGACGCTTCAGTTCTGCAGCTGCAGAGGCTCTGCAGAGCTACTCGATGCCCGGAGAGAGGAGTTTGGACTTCATGAGAGGAGAGGCGGTTGTGTTCATTCATTGTTCTCTTTCCAGGGCTCTGGGTGTGCCCTCTGGTATTCATGCTCTGGTGGGAAGAGAGATAAAGATTTCCTATGTCTGGGTTCCAGACTTGTGACTGGGTTCCAGAGGGCCACTTAGTCTTAAGTAGGGAATGAAACCGGCGCACGCACGTTCGTTAAGTATTTCTCCCTGTCTTGCGTTCTGTGGGCTGAGTGGGGCGAGCCTGGCCTCAGTTCGCCCCCAAGGCGTGAAAACAATGCGCTGTGATAAGGGTGGGCTCCCCAAGTGTTGGGGGAGTTTGGAATCCCTACTTTTGCCTGGGAGGAGTGAGGAACTTTGTACGCTGGACGGGGCTTCTGCGCCGAGTTTTGAACTGATTAAGTGCTACCAGGTGAAGAGGTGGAAGAGCATTCTAAGCTGAAGGAACAACAGCTGGTTACCGAGGCTTAGAGACATGCAGGAGTTGGGATGAGTTTGGGGAGCAGCAAATAGTTTGGGGTGCAGGAAGGATGTGGTGAGAGATGAGGGTCTGAAAGAAATGATGGCTGGGTTGTCAAAGATCTTCGGAGATAGTCAGCTAATTGATTTATTTGGGTTATTTTAAATGAGTTGCTAATTTTTTTTCTTGCTGATAACTAACTTTCCTCCATCTCTTGATGATATTGAAGCTGATAGTAATTGAAAAGATTTGCTTTGTTAAACCCAGTTAAGAGCATTTTTGATAAGTACTTTATGTGAAATGTTTTATGTTTATTACACAATGGTGAGTGAACTGAACTCATATTCCTAGGAGTTCTTGCAAAAGATTCTCCTAAAGTTATATGTGCTCACAAAAATGTTGACTTTATAAATGTAGCACATTTTACTAAAACTGCATTTTAAATGGCTGTTGACAGTAGGAGCCGCGCTCTCTAGTCCTTTAGAAATTGGCCGATTGTATAAAACAGCTGAGAAAATGTAGAATGCAAGTGAATAGTTTTAGTTTGGCAAATGTGTTTTGTATAGTAAACTGTTTGGATTCATTCCTGGTTTCCAATTCTGTTAAAAAGTCTTAGCTCTGTGAATATTATTTCCCCCAAATAGCTGTATTGTTGTGTTTAATACCTATGTTAAAGTGATTATTAGGATACTAACAGATTGGAGCTCAGCGGTTCCTAAATCTTCCTGGGTTGAGATGATTATATACCACTCAAGAACACTAAGCATCTTTTGGCTTGTTTTCCTCCCCTATCATTTCAAGGGCTAAGCTGTTTGAAACGCAGCAGAAACATTTGACCCAGCTGAACACAGGATACTTGGGAAAATAAACCTATGACTGTTGCTGTTGTAGAAGCTCATCTTTTAGGTATATGGTGTTTGTGACTATAAGTTGTAGTGGAATTACTTAGCTTTTTTTAACTCTTGTCAATAGTTGAAAAATGCATATACCTTCAGGATAAAAGTATTTTGTGATAGAAGATAGAAGGCTTTAGTGAAATAGATTAGTGCATATTTGATGGGATTCGGTTTATCAGAAGAACATGATGAGAAGCAGATTAAGCTGGTCATTTAGATGAAGAGCATTCAAAAGATGAAATGGAGAGTGGTTAAACATCAAGTATTCTATAACAACTGCTCTATAAACAGTTGCTTTTAGTGTAAAACATGCCATTTGTGAAATCCAAAGTAGGTGGCTTGCTCTGAAGATTGAACAACTTCTTGGAAGTTAAATTAGACTTTTCCAGAAGCACTAGATGACTTATTAAATGGAAGATGTAATTAGGAACTTCGAACTACTATTTCAAGTAACTTAGTAGTAGTAGATGTATGATTCTACTACATTTTAATTTTAGATAAAACTTTGTAGTCACCTCTAAACATAGAAAAATGTTACAGGAGGGACATTTTGTGTGCACATTAGGAACATAATAGGCCATACATAATAACCTTAGTTCTTGGGAGGAGGTTGTGAGCCAAACAGCATGCCTTAATGTTGACTTGCAGAAGAGAATTTTAAATATTGCCTTTCAAAGGCAGTGGACTGATGTGACAGTGAGGGGTTATGGAACAGTGAAATCGAGCTTGAAAAGGCTTTTTGTTTTTTGTGCAGATTGTGGAAGATGGTTCTTAAAAACAAACGACTAGTTGGAAAACTCACCTGGACTAAATTAATTGGAAAATCAAGGAACATTGGGTTCATTTAGGATGAGGTTGTGTAGAATTTAGGTTATATTATTTTGTGTGTGTTTATGAATGTGTATGGATGAATAAAAACTAGGCTCAAAATGTAATACTAGGTATTTATGTTACAATTCAGTTAATATATTTCTGGTACAGGAATCCTTGTGATAGTAAATGGCTGGGTATTTTATTTTTGTCTTAAAGCTGTGAGTGAAAATTCCTTAATTACATATTAAAATTTTCATCTTTAATTTTACAGTGATTGAATCATTCTGTTTTGCCATTTCTCCCAGAATACTTGTGTAGCTTTCACTGATTTTAGTAGTTAACTTCAGATCTGTTAGCCTTTTTTCTAAAATTACTGAGAGAATCTCAGTTTAACCAAGGGAAAATGTCAAGTGGGTGTTGTTTCTTTGTTACTGGTTTTGGCCGAGACTATCTGAAATCTCCTTGGCAAATCACTCACAAAGTGTGTTAATTGCTTCACATTCCAATCAGTGTACATAGTTTTTCTTGAGGAACACTTGACACATAGTTTTATTTTTAGACCAGATTCTAAGGGATCTTATTGGGTGGAGATTAACAATCCTAAAACTAGTTTAGAATTTTAAGACCTTTGTGATTTAGAGATTGTTTTGTTTTTGGTTAATGAATGGGAAGCAGCAGGCAAATGACAATTAATGTTTTAGGGGTACCCAGTATTTCTAACTGTTCCCAAGGACCTTGTGGACTATTACCATTTACAGTGTGTACATAATATTTTTTACTGTTTTACACCATATGTACTGTTTTAGTCAAGATGTTCTCCCCTATTTATTATCTCCCAAGTTGCAATGGAAAGCAAAAGTGGTCTGATTTATTTGAAGCTTCTTAATACTAGCCATCACATTTGAACCAAGTATTCTCCATCCATGTACGTTTCTGATGGAAGAGTCAGGTGAATTTTCAACTGTTATTTCTTTGAAATTATGAGTTTTCATTCTTAATTTGAGTATTTTGGAGGCATGCTTTTCAGCCTGCAGTAGTTTTTAACATCCATCCTTTGCTTAGTTTAGGGTACATGAAAGGATCCTGAGTTTTCACTGGAAGAGTGTGACACTTGTTCTCTGTGGCAAATCTTAGGAAGCTCAGAGTTTCTGGGAGAGGCATTTTCTTGGATCCAGATCGATTACTCAGAAAGGAGCTTCCATTTGTGTTTAAGAAAGTTTGTTGACGATAGAAAAAACTGGAAAGAGTTCAAATGCCCAACAATAATAAAATGATTAAACTGGTACAGCCACTTGATGGGGCACTATACTTTTTCATTAAATAATGGAATATCTGAAGCATTTAGGAGAGGGAAAATGCTGAACATGAAATTATGTATCTCGAATGATTACAGTTGTATAAAGAAATCTTAATACAATGGAATATTATTCCGTGCTGAAAAGAGCTGGTACATTTAACAACATGTATAAACCTTGCAAACATTGTGTCAGAGAAGCCAGTCAGAAAAGACCACATATTGCATGACTTCATTTACATGAAGTGTCCAGAAAAAGCAAATCCACAGAGACAGAAAGATTAGTGGTTACCAGGGCTGGAGGGAGGAGTGTGTTGGAGGGAGTGGGGAATAAGCAGTGACTGTGATAGGAGTTTCTTTTTGGGGAGATGAAAATGTCCTAAAATTGATTGTGGAGATGGATGCACAACTCTGTAAATATAAAAGAAACCATTGAATTGTACACTTTAAATGGGTGACTTGTATGGTGTGTGACTTACATCAAGTTGTTAAAAAAATCTCAAAGCCTACACATAGGAAGAAAATACATGTAGATATTAACAATGTGTTAAGCAGTAGGAATAAGTGTAATATTCCTCTTAATACTTTCCATATTCTCTGAATATAAATTTATTTTTTAATAGAAAAGTATATTTAATAAAACTAAATTAATTCTGTTCATAGTGTGGATTTTTGTGTCAGTCCAAACATTTGTGCACTGTCAGATTGCATTGACAACTATATTTTTGAGCTTCTTTCAGCTATTTTCTGCTTTCTCTAATTTGGGCTTGTATTACTGTTTGCCTTGACTATTGTTAGAACTTTTGAACTGAACTCCTTTTTCTTAATTCTTCCTGTGTCAGTGAATTCGGTACATTACTGCCAGA